TATTACCCATTTCCTAAAGTAATTTACCTTATGATGCACGAGTTTAATGTTTAGTTTAATAGGTAAATGGATGCACTAGGTATAAAATACGTTAAGTATAAATGTATTAAAATTGGTTATATTTTTAAAAGAGCTTTACGAAGACATCAGAGTCGAATTGTTTTATATTTGTCCTACAGAACTTGTCCAATTTTAAAGTGCAGAAAAATTGTGTCAGATCGATAAAGGTTTAAAGGTTAATTATGTAATAGTTATTAAAAGTAATGGATTATAGAGATTTTCTTAATCTGACATTCTTATAAATGCATTCCGAAAGAATAGAATCTTTGCAGATTGAAAACAAAAACATTGGTTTGGAAAAATAGACATAGACTTAAGTCAAATCGATTTTATTCAGTAGTTAAAATATGAAGTTTAGAAAAGTAACGCTTATTTGTTGAAATATGTAGTTTATCAATAATTGTTAAATTTATGATATAATTATTTATGAAATATATAATTTGTTACTTTCAACTCGTTTAAATTAATATTAGTAAAATGATGATTTTCAATTCACTGATATCATTTATCTTAAAAAAAAGCTATTTTCCATACATTATCATCTTTGATACATCATTTTTTAACAAATTAATGTTTACATATTTATATTATTCTTTTGTAGCCCAACTTAATTTTGTCAAAACTAAATTAGGTGTAATACTTTACGAATTAATGAATGATCAAATGTTTCTATTTTTGTTTGGTATTTGAAAAGACTGCGGAACCACTGGGAAATAAAAAGCTTGGAAATAATTACTCTTTATGTGGTCCCATGGTGGAACCACTTGCACACAAAGGGTTTACTAATTATTTATAATTTTATAATGGATAATAACATTAATTATTAATATCTATTACATAAGTATATTAGTAAATAAAAATTTATAAATATTTCTAGAAGAGAAAAATAAATTCTATAAATTTAAAATAAACCAGAAAATTTTCTGATTTTTTCGAGTGTTCGAATATTGATATTAATATTCATTTTTCGTTAATGTTTAAACCTGTATAAATTAGATTTTACATAATAATAATTTATTGAAACAAATAACAAATTAAAATCTAATTAGAAAATTATATTAAAAGAAAAAACTATTGCAAATAGCTAATAAATATTTTCGTCCTTGGATTTTAGTTCATTAAAAATTTCTTAATGTTTAACGTTTGCTTATATGAATTGAAGAATATTTGAGGTAGACTAAGCTAAAGTGTTTTTTTCATTGTCTGATGTTCATTATTTTTTGTATGTTTTCTATATATAAAAATGAGACTTTCTTCCTATGTCCGACTGATGATAATTTGAAGGTTGGCGTTTCCCTTTTATCGGCGGCACGTTAAAAGGTGTTCACGGCAAATTACTTTGCGAAAGTAAAGAACGGATCGGAGTCAACTTCCGCACACAAAGCGCTCTCCATGTTTTGGGTGATGTTGAATTACATAATGCACCAGCATTTCATAATGTGGACAGTGTTGTATATGTGTATACGTATGGTCTTGTATGAGGCGGCATGTTTACGGGCAATCGAGAACGTTCTTGCGCCATTGTGGCCGTTCATCCGGGTGACAGGAGAACAAGGCTTTGCGGCACCGACGGCCCTTTTGGTAAGCCAAATGCCGCTCCGACCACCTACCACTGAAACTGGACCGAGAGAACAGGGATGGATGGCAATTTGTATTTATACATATTTCCCTACTCGCCATTCTTCGCACAATTGGTTTATACATGTATCCCACTATTTGAGCTATTTAACCATTGTGTCCAACATCCTTTTAATAGTACCGCTCGCATAGGTGATGAGCGTCCACCGAAAGAAAGTAATCCTTCATTCTTTCCCTCCGATTCCCAAAAGAAAAAAAAAACACGAAGAAGAAATACTATCTCCTCTCATTATTCCATCCTCCGCTCACCTCTCTCATCCTCTTCATCATCATCATCATCTTTCTTTTTTTTATACGTATTCCTCTCCTGTTCATCTTCATACCAACGGTGTATGAATTACATAACGCGCGAGCGGTTTCGATCTCGCTCGCGCCTCCAGTTAATTGTATGCATTCATCTCGATCCGCTGAGATATTAATCATTTGACCTCCTGCTGTTCAATTAGACAGGTCTACATGGCCCACACATGTCGCCATTGTTCTTCAACCTCTCGTACGGATCCTAGAGGCTCGTGCGCATTCCTATCCTATCATTACGGTATTACACAGATTACCCCCAGATCCCAACCGACGTCAACCCTTGTAATTTCAATCCGATTTTTTTTTTCGCAATCGGAAAATATTCATTATTGTTGTTATTATTATTGAGGGGGGGAAGATCGAATTTTGTGGGAATACCACTGAGCCCTAAGGGGGGCCCCAACGAGCAGCCCCCCATCGCCTCTTACCTTTATTACTAAACATTTATCATTTAACACTCCGATGCACTAAATATATCATCTGTCGCTTCATCCGCGCACCAAATAAATTAACGCTCATCTCGTTTCCACTCTTGTCTCTTTTTTGTCCACTTTTTTTTCATGTATACTTACGCTGTATTTCCAGACGCACTTTAAAATCGCATCAATATCCCAGCTAAATGCCTTCGCAATTAATCCTACAACCGCATCTTACTTTCTTACTTCAATCGAGATTCAGACTAAAAACACAGAAAAAAATAAATCCACTATAATTTATATCTAATTCCTTTTACAGCTATACATTATAGCTCTAAATCCGAAATATATTTAGTATAAATAGACACACGAAATTCAGTATTTTCTTTCGTTCATTAATATTCTTAATGATTGCACAAATTGTTAGTTTTATAAATTATCAGTATAATTTGTATACATTATACTGATTATATAAATTACATTTGCACAAATTCAGATAAAAACATGCTAAGATAATGTTATTTTAATTAGAAAACTGTATAATCAAATAATTTTACTTATGGAAAAGTTGTAAATTACAACGTTATTTTTATTAATATAAAATACATTTGCATAAGTAAAAAACAAATATAATCATAAATTTAAATATAATTAAACTTATGGTAAACTTTAATTTTATTGCAACGTTATTATTATTGATTTAATTACATTTGCACAAATTAAGACACAAACATGATAGTCGGTAACTCCTTATTGTAACAAATACAGTCATTATTGTCCATTTAATTTGCATTTGCACAAATTAAGAAAACTATGAATTAAAACATCATAGACAATTGCGTCTTGTTCTAATAAAGACAGTTATTAATGTCCATGTAAGTTGCATTTGCACAAATTAAGAAAACTATGGACAAAAACATTTGTTCTAACAAATACATTCATTATTGTCAGTTGAATTTGCACAAATGAAGAAATTAGAGAGTAGAACATTTGTATTTTTTTTTTTTACAAAAGTTATAAAATAATTTTACTTATTGCATAATTGTAAATTGAAATGTTATTTTTATCCGTGCAATGTAAAAAGGCGCAACTTTTCAGCAGTTGTTTACTTTTTGGTGATGTGGGATTAAAATAAGCGTTTTATAAGGTTACGCAAACCGAGAAATTGGTTCGCAGAAAGGCGTCCCGCGATTGTAAATCGACCGGACGAAAACGTCCTCTTTGTCGGAACCAAAATCAATCATGGTGCAACAATGTTGAAGTTCGGCACATTTAATTTTGCTTTTGTATACAACAAGAAGCAAAACAGGAATATTTTCACGGCTTCGCCATTTTTTTTTTAAAAACAATAGTGGATTGTTGTTGTCATTTTGTTTCGTTTCGATTTCGATAGTCGCAACGGGAATCCTGGGCGCGCATTGAATAATTAAAAGTATTATTTATTCACCGAATGAGTTATGACGATCGTACATTCCGTTGAAACTAATAAATGTGTAACTTGAAAAATATTAATGGGTGAGTTTGGCGTTTTGGTGTCTCGGAATGTGATTCGGAAAGTTCATCAAGTGGGCCGGATAATCGAAGACCCCCGTGTGAGCGTGACCGGTAATTATTCAAAAACCAAAAGAAAAAGAAGTAATAAGCACGGAAGAATTAAGGTTTGTAAACGTTTCCTGAGCTGAGGTCATTTTTGATAAGTTTTGTTTTAATTTTGATCATTAAGTTTGTTGATTAAGCGGAACGTTTCCTTAGCTGAGGTCATTTTCGACAATTTTTGTTTTACTTTACTTTTGGTACTTTTGATCATGCTTTAAACCAGTGCTCGAAATAAACGGGGTAAAAGTGTATTCTTGGGTAATGAGGACAAAAATATTAGAATTCATGGTCATGTATCCATAGTCTTACCTCGTCTTAATGGGGTAACGCCAACGTAATGCTGACCTCAGGATTAAGCAGAACGTTACCTGAGCTGAAATCATTTTTTTGTTACTTTTGATAATCAAGTTTTTGGATAATCTGGGATTTTGCGCAAGGGACGTGTCGTTTTTAGTAAAATCCGGTTATTATTAAAGACGTAAGCCGGAAGGAGTTTTGAAAAGGTGGTCCAAAAAAAAAATATATATAAATGAGGACGGGGTAGAGGAGGTTGTAGGAGTCAAACGTGTATTAGGAGAGTGCGGTTTTTTGGAGTTCTTTGACGGCTCTGCGGGACAATGAGGCCCATTGTGCGGGTGTCTTTGGCGGTACGTGGCCACCCTCTGCGACGGTGAGATTTATTGCTGCACCGCCGTTTGTAGGTTACGTTCCAACACTTATAATATTCACAGTTGACAATGTTCCTTGCCCCTCGGGCCCCTTGTCAAGTTGTCCGGAGACCGGCCTGCCTTCAACATCTCCTCTCCCATTAAGAGGACGTATTTTAAACTATTTTATAGTAGTGGGAATGGGGATAGGCATATATACCTTCGAATCCCTTGGCCCCATTTGCAATTCATAAACCTCTAATGGATGAGTAGGGTCACGCTTCCTTCATCGCGTTGCTCTCCTTCATGACTTGACTGTTTTTGTTTATTTCTTGGGTTTCAGGTAGGGAGGATGACAGTGATACGGAATCGCAACCGGGTATTCCATTGAAAAGAAAGCAGCGCCGCTCAAGGACCACTTTCACAGGTGAACAGTTGGAGGCGCTGGAAAGGGCGTTCGGTCGTACGCAATATCCGGATGTTTATACTAGGGAAGAGTTGGCACAACAGACAGGACTTACGGAAGCCAGGATACAAGTAAGAAAACAATCTTTAGAATTGATTAAAACAACTCACCTATACTGACATCAATCAATCACTTATTGACATAAGACAATCACATGAAGCAACTGAAACTAAGAAACACAAATGTATTGAAGTAATTAATTACTATTAAAACACATTTGAATTGATATTAACCCGAAATAATATTAATTCAAAAAAAAATATCTACAAAACGGAAATCATTTACTCAAATAATAAGACAACATTTAATAAATTTGAATATGAATTAGGAAACACAAATGATGTAGTTTCTAAAATATATTAATTAGTATTAACACAAATTACTTACAAGAGTAAAAACTCAACATATTACACACTCTTCAAGAACTTGAAAACTTTCTTATATAACATATATGATGATCATAATAACTATCACAAATATTGTCATAACAACATATGATAATAAATAAACACATGAAATTAACCATCTTGGATAAACAAATTTAATTTTAACGTTGATATTATTTAAATTACATAATAACCTTAACTTACAATTATAGAATTTTATAACAATCCATTATATTTAATAGGATCTTAATTGTAATTTGTGTTTAATATATTATTTTGCACATTTAGTTAAGAAATATTTTTTTTAAAGAATTAATTAACGAAATTTTATACTATATACATTTTTTCTATAGAATTCTATAAATCAATTTTATAAAGCTGGGATGGGAGAATGCGGCTCTTTTTATAATAAATTGCGGCTCTCAGCTCTCACAGTTGCTATAGTGGCTGTATTGGAAAATTCATTTCACTACTATTGTAATAAATATTACGTGCGGCTCCCTTCTTTTGTTTCACATGCAAGTGGCTCTTTGCTCCATAAAGTTTGCCGATAACCTGTTATAAAGTATACATTGCTAACCTAAAATCTGAATTTAATAATAACTTTAACAAACAATTAATGGACATAATTACATTAATTACATTTAATTTCCACTAAAAATAGTAGAATTTGTATTGAAAATGGAACATTAACTGTTGTTTTTATTTACTCAACATTTTATTGGAATCATTTGTAACTTTATATTTAATAATATGATTTCCCCAAAAGTTAATTAATAAATAATAATTTCATGTACACGTGGCTTATTTTAAGTACTTGAAATTATTTCAAAAATTTATCAATTTTCTTGCATATTTTGTAGAATTAATTAAAAAAAACACATTATATTTGTTTTGTAAATGACTTTGAAAATTGACATATTTGAACTAATAAACTAATAATAATATAATTTTAATTGACAAAATGTCTGATTTCTCTAATTTGCTAAAGTATTTAATTAAATAAAATAAATCAAGTAAATGAAGTGTAGTAAATGTATTTATATAATAATACATATAATGTGATGTTATTTCAACTTACTTTTCATTGTATTCAATATAATAGGAAATACTACATAAAAATTGTTATTCTGAATCAAATATTGTTTGGTTTTACAAATTGGGTCTTCGATGCGAGAATAACAGAAACCATTTGAGTGCATGCAATTTACATCCTTGTCAATTTCTCTTTGCTAGGTGTGGTTTTCCAATCGAAGGGCTCGCCTACGGAAACATATGACCAACGGAAATCCGACGACGTCCTTGGCATTCGCATCCTTACCTATGTCCGGACAGTACCCGGAGAATCCTCAGGCCGATTGGCGAAACGGACAGTTCGCTAATTACAATATGTTCCAACAAAATCCTTACAACCAAAGCCACCAGGATGTGACGCGCGGCGAATACTCGGCCATCTTCGACGCGAATTACGCAATAGCCCACGCACAGATGGCCCATGCCCAAGCCCAACGGAAGGATGACACCAATAAGACTGATATGGCCTCAGATGGATGGGACCATAAAGCTACATGGAACGCAGCGGCGGCGGCTGCCACAACGGCCCAAATGAACCAAGACACCGGCTTCAACGACATCGGCAACTTCGGACAATCCTCCCAATACGGAATACACTCGGGTAAAAACTACTGGGCCTAAACAACTCTCTTCTTCGACCTCACCACACAGATATAAATATATAAATATATTATTACGCAATAAGTATAGGATAATTAAATGTTTAAATAAATGATTAAGTACAACAATTTTTGTTTCATTTCACTAATGCAGTTATACATGTTTTATTGACACTAACGTTATACATATTACATAAATAGTTTTACAGGAAATATATTTTTTTTTATTATATATATATTTATTATATAGTTAAAGAGACAAAGGTCTTTAAAAAAAAGATTTTATATATAGTATATTTTTTTAAGTCAATTATTGTCTTATAGATTTCATACAATTATTGTCTTTAACCTTTACTTATATTGTCATTTACAGCAAGAAATTTCGTAAAATAAATTTCCAGCCCAATTTATTTATACGAATTCAAACGAATTTAAAATTACATTTCAATATATATATATTCTTATAATATTCTTTTTTTTTGTCTTCATTATTTGGGGAAAAGGGGATACACGATTTATCATTGGCCCTATATCTGCTATACTTAATTCCTAGGATATCTTACGATTATGTCTTGAAATGATATTCTTGATTGATTCGTAACAGAATAGATTAAGAATTTCCCTGGATTTACGATATTTTTGTTGTTTTTTTTTTGTAAATAAGTTCTAAATTGTTGATATTTTTATATTTCTTTTCATTTTGATATGGTTGCGGTTTCGAAAAAGATATGAATTTTGTTACGTTAAATCAGGATAAGTTCGGTTTTAATGAGATCCGTTTAGTGGTTGCGCGGTTGCATCAGGACTCTCTGGAGAAGGATCCTGTCTACGGCCGGCTGCAACAGGAAGCGTTTGTCGTCTACTGGTAGTTTGTCTTCGGGGAAGGCGTACTCTTTGGTTTGCCCATCTGCGGAAGCCTCCCTAAACAGAGAAAAGAAAAATATTATTGAATCGTGCTCAAACTATAGCATTAGCCACATTTAATCATGCTGTTCACTAGATTCTAAGTTTCAGAAACCTACACATTGACTAAGTTTTAAAGACTACCTAGGAATAAGAACAGTAAGTAGCACATAGAAGAATATAAACATCGATACATCAAGAGTATATAGTATAGTAGTTGTTGCCTTTTGGAATCAGTATTGATTTGATGTAACCTTTACTGGATCCATCTGGCTTCCTGTTTTTACTTGCTCTGACCTGTAGCACTCATTGCTAGATCTTCCGGAGCGATTGAATCTCCGTACGCTTCTAAAAGAAGGCAGCCAGCCGAGTCTGGCCAAAGAGCCGATGTGCCTCTTATCGATTCTGCTGGTGAAGCGCGAAGAAGCTGAAGGTCTAAACCAACCGCTTTTCGCCACCGACCCTTTTGTCACGGACGACGCGAAAACAAAAACCTTTAGTAGTCGCCAATTCCCACATTCTCTTATATATGATAACGCCAAAGTATATAATTTAAACAATATATATCACCTAGACAGTCTGTATAATGCCACGTGTCCAAAAGATCTATGAACTAGGACAATTCCACCAAATTTTACATATTTTTCTACGTATTAATTTTATTGAAGTTAACAATAAAAAGACCACAAAATGAATGAAAAGTCGTAGATTACATCTTCAATTACTAATTATTTTGCGTTTATGTTATTTAATTTTACTATAAGTATTTCTAATTCAATTCACTTTGTCATTATATAAATTGCCTAGACAATGTACAAAATTAATTACATTTGGTATTGTACAGATTAACTAGGTTTTCTATAAAATAAGAAAAAAATGTATATACTTTGCCATTAACATATACATATAATAATTTATACATATAAATATTAATATGAAACAATGAGGTTATGGTATGGATTGTGTCGGTTATGTGTGTTTCGGGTCGTTAAAAAAAATGCAGCGCGATTTTTAATTTGTTTTTATAAATATCCTTTTATGGTCCACATAAATATTTAATAATAAATTCCATCCAATTTTCAGGCGCGTTATTAAGCAATCAAACCGTTGCGGCTGGGTTAGTAATAAAACGGACGTGTACACATATGCATGCATGCATGTACGTACGTATCTTGAAATATTGTTAAATGTATTTAAAGCCGTCGGTATGCCTGCTTTTTTTTAATGAGCGACGTTTTTATTAGCCACGCCATTACGATTTCCACGTACAGGCGAAACGCAATTTATTTGGTTTAAAACATGGATATTATTAATTATAATTAAGAAGACTATTAAAAAAATATATGGATAACCATTACCGACGTTTCACTTGCTCTTTTTGTTTTTGTTTTCTAACACATATACTTGGTTTTGGATAATTCTAATATTTAATGCTTCATCAACACTATAAGAGATATGAGGCATTAAAGTAAGGTATACCAATTGTACTCAGTTCAATATTTCCATTTTAATTCAGTTGAATGGTTTAGTTCAATTTGTTTGTTTACCTCGCATAGTGCGGGTAATCGGTTCTGTCAAAATCCTGCACTGCTTCAAACTGGACTAATCGAGTACTTTAAAATCGCATAAAAATAAACAGCACAAAATGAGACTTTACTGTGAAATTTTGTGACAGTACTATATTAAACCCGTACTGATCGAAGCCATACTGTGGATGTATCAGTGATGTAATTTATTTCTACCATCATATCAGATTAGCATTGGATTAGTACTAGATTTTTGTTATTTGGTTTAATTTTGGTATTAAAAACTTTCGTTTTGTATTTTGGACACTCTATTTATAATTGTACTCAGTCATACCTAATGCACTAATTCAATATTTTCATTTTAATTAAGTTGAATGGTGTAGTTCAATTTATTTGTTTACCTCGCATAGTACGGGTAATCGGTTCTGTCAAAATCCTGCGCTGTTTCAAACCGGACTAATCGAGTACTCTAAAATTGCATAAAAATAAATTGCACACAATGAGACTTAGCTGTAAAATTTTCTAACCGTACTGATCGAAGCCTCACTGTGGATGTGTCAGTGATGTGTCTTCAAAAAATATGAACAAATAAAACTGTTTCATAAATTTCATTGGATTATAATAATTGATATTGTATATTGAAATTGATTGATGATTCATCTAAGAATGAAAAGCGGATAACTAATTTGGGTCTCTTTAATTGAATCCGGGCTTATCTTCCGTCGCAGAGGATAATCCTGCACAAACATTAATTCAGTACTTAATTAACTAGGTTTATGTACACGAATTAAATTAAGATAACATTGATATACCCCAAAATTTCTAAATAAAAAATGTATAGAAATCTTAATTTTTATTAATAATAAATATTTTTATTTAATTTATATTACTTTATGGAATTCAATTAATTTATAATTCTTGTTTCCAATATGGAGTGATTTTTAGAAGAATATGATAAGAAAGTACAATAATCATGATAAAACTACTGGGCGGAATGCCAACTGGGTCTCCGTATCCTTGCTGTGTATTTGGAACAGCTTGAAATATTTCCTTTCAGCGTGTAGCTATAAAAGCTGCATAGTTATATTACATATACACATTTCTATTAGTATACATGTAACCCACTAACTATATGCTGAAAGAGCTTAGGCTTAAGCAGTATGACTACTTATGTAAAACCCAAATATGTAACCCATTTCACATATAAATAAAAACATTTGAAACTCTATTAGTATACTTCAATATATATGAAATCTAGAAAATATGAAGGAGGAACCATTATTATATAAATTGTATAAAAAGGTTAAATACTAAAATAAGTTGTAAACATTGAATACAAACCCAAATCTCTTTTTGTGCGGTTTATTTATTTTGTAATTTAGTTCCTCTATTAGTCCTGTTTCAAACAGTCTGGGATATTTATGGAAGCAATTACCCGCACTATGCGAGGTATAATTCAATTTCTATTTTTCAATTTATTAAAATTTAAAGATTCGTGAAGTGAGAACTCATTTTCTATATACTTAATAGAGTTTAATAATTCGAATTTTTATAATCAAAATGTTATAATTTAGTATTAAAATATTATTGTTAGTAAAGTTCTGTTAATTTATATATTGATTTTATTTACTGTTTATTTTATAAAATAATTAATAGCAAAGTTATTTTTTTTTAATATAAAAATTGCAAAATATTTCGTTTCAATTTGAGTTCGATTGTTTACAAAACCATATAAAATGACGTTAAATGTCATCGCAGCAGTAATTCCGCTTCGAACGCAATTACAATTAATTAGAAAATTAATAACTTATTTGCATAAAGTTGTTATCGATGGATTTAGTTATTACTTGAGTGCCCATAAAATAAGAGAAAATATGAGTGGAAATTATACGTCTGTTTATATTTTTCAAACGCAAAAGAAAAAAAAATCACTTCGTTAAAAAGGAAGGTTAAATCCTTGAGTGCTCTTAAAATCAACTAAAAAAAAATATTAGAAATTAGTGTTAATTTAGATTATTTTCATATAAAAATTGTAATTAAAGTTCCGTGCAATTTGCTGTGCTTATTAAGTTAACTTAAAAATAATATTTAAAAGGTTAGGAATGCAGTGCAATTAAAAAAAAATGTGATTATCGTTTGCAATTTGCTGTGTTAATGAAAGAAAATATTTTTAGATGGAGATTGGAGGTAATTTTAAATTTGAAATAAAATTGTGATTATCGTTTCGTGCAATTTGCGGCAGTCCGTGGGGATGCAGTGGGAAAAAATTGTAATTTACGTTTTTAATCGAATCGTGCGGTTCGAGGGTGTTATTTTATTTTTAGATTGAAGTGCGTTTGGTGATACGAATTGATTTATTATATTAATTATATGAAAGCTACTTACCCAAAAATCTCTTGTCGGTGTTGGGATATTCGCCGGTTAAAGCCTTGATGAGCTCTTCGTACTCAAAGACGTTCTGGTTCTGAAGTACCGGAGATGCGTACTCATCGTTGATTTCGTAGTAATCCGCTTGACGCTTCTTGCGGGTTTCGACGGACCTCTTGAAGGGTTGCTTGTAGCCTGCTTTGATCGAAGCCAAGTTCCTCTTATCCCCATTACCAGAGTCCCGTTCCGCATCGGACTTCATCATGTCATCGTAGCTCCTGTCGTTCGGACCGTGGATCTTATCCTGCCTCAATAAAGCAGCGACGTTCCTCTTTCCGTAAAGCAGATTTCCACCACGAGCCAAAGACGCGACGTTCCTCTTATCATTGTGGAACCTATTCAATTCCCCAGATCTGGCCAATGACCCAATATACCGTTTTCCGTAAGGAAAACTGTAGCTTCGAGCCAAATTAGCAATATTCCTCTTCTCGTAAAGCTCATCGATCAGATCTTCGATTTCGCGTTTGTTATGCAACTCCCCGTTCCTAGCCAAAGACTCTATACCGCGTTTCTCGGCATCATTTTGGTAATTGGGAAGTTGACCGTTCTTAGCCAAATTAGCGATGCTGCGTTTGCCATTATCCTCATCCGGAAGAGTCCTGATGTATCCAGCACGAGCCAAAGCAGCCAAATTGCGTTTCCCAAATGCAGCCATGCGATAGTAGTCATCATCGTAGGACTCCTTCTTCTTATTCATCTCATCCACTTTCCTCACCAAATCTTCATCTTCGTTAATCCCCTCTCGCGCTAATTTAGAAGCAATCTTCCCAATTATATCGTGACGCAACGCCTGAGCTTGCATAGTCGTAGCCTTCTCCGGGCAAAAGATCCTCGCGAAGATCTCATCCAGATCCATGTACTCCTGGCAATGCGCCCTTATCTGAAACAACCCCAACAAAAAAACATCATCAGCCCCGTTCACACTATTATCAGTCGATTTACGTTTTAATTAAACTCGACGACGCACGCAAATCCTTTAGAAATCCCCTCTTTTCCGAAAACCTGTTGCTATTATTTCCCCCAGACAATACGCTTTTCCATTCAAGCTGGGATAATCGAAAAAGTTTTTTTGTGCACGTCGCAATTAAAAAAACTGTCGGCAATGTTTGAATATTAAAATCGATATTGGCAATCGCTAGTTGAAAACTTTCGCTCAACTTTTTTTGTTTGGTGTATGTGTGTCTGTGTGATATTTGTTCGCGTTTTATATGAAGTTTGGAAAACCGCTTCCGGCACACGGCAAACATACAGGAATCAATAAGCCAGCTTTTCGCTACCCTGCAGCGAAAGGGCGGAGGATGAAAAAAAAAGGGAGAGATAAACAGAGAGAGCGAAAGGGTATCCTGTTGGAATCATCATGTTTATCGTTGCAAAGAAAACTCGTACGGCGAGAGATTTGACGTCTCATTTGACGGTGTTATTGGATTTACACTATATTTGATTTGCACGTGATTGGAAACGTGATGTATGGAACTGATTGATCATTTTCAATCCTTCATTTGTCACATATAAAAAAAATCATATGATATTTATTCATAATTCAGATATGATTGATTGTGACATTTATTTAAACATAATTTATATAATATCAGTATTTTGTATAGATCAATACGAAAGTTAAGCAACATCAGACAAACACAGTATTTGCATAGGTAATAATACGAATTTGTTGTACAAATGTATATTTTTGCATTTTTTGTTTTTAAACATATTTTATATAAATCCCATCTATTATTTTAATGTTTCAAAACTTATTAAAGTTAAGCAATATTAGATAAAAATATGAATTGAATAGGTGATTATTCGAATCTAGTGCATATATAAATATTATCGTATTTCTTTATTTAAACATAATTTGTATAATTCCCATCCAGTATTTTAAAGTTTCAACATTTATTAAAGTTAAGCAACATTAGACAAAGGACTTACTTGGATAAGTGATCATGTGAATCTAGTGTACATATGAATATTATTGTATTTCTTTATTTAAACATAAATTATATAATTCAAATCGAGTATTTTAATTTTTCACAACTTACAAAAGTTAAACAAAGAAATTATTTGGATTGGTGACTTTAACTCTCCTATAGTATTTTAAAGTTACCAAAGTTAAGCAATGTCTGAAAAATACATTATTCTAATAGCTTGTAATGATGATACTACTATTCTTCTTTATTTTAACATAATTTATTTATATAATATTTCAAATTTTGTGAAAGTTAAGCAATTAAATTATTTATATTTATCATCATTCGAATCCGGTTTGTATATTAATGTAGTACTTCTTTATTTCAACTTATTTTTTATAATTTCTAATCAGTATGTTGATTTTTCACAACTTACAAAAGTTAAGCAACATTTTACAAAAAAAATGGATGGGTGACTATTCAAATCTGGTGTATAGAAGATTGTTAGTTTACTACTTTATTTAAACATATATTATATAACTTCTACCTAGTATTTTAAAGATTCAAAGCTTACGAAAGTTAAGCAACGTTTAACAAAGAAATAGTTTGAATAGGTGATTAAAGCTGGAGTACAGATTATTATAACTCCACTTCTTTATTTAAACTATAATTTTTATAATTCCCATCCAGTATTATAATTTTTCACAACTCGTAACTTGCTTAACATATGACGAAGAAATTATTCAAATCTGGTATATAGAAAAATGTTAGTTTACTTTTTTATTTGAACACAGTTTATATAAATTTAATCTAGTATTTTAAAGTTTCAAATCTTATGAAAGTTAAGTAACTTTTCACAAAGATTGATGACCTTTTTAAGTGTGTAGAAAAATGTTTATTTACTTCAAAAAGTTATATCACATTAACATATTTTATTTCATTAATTTAGAAAACAAATTAAATCATTACTGCATATTATCTAACTAAATTAGTTACTAATTTTAATTTACTGAACTTCAATTTGCTTTAATTTAATGTTAATTAACGAAACTATTGAATTTCCAATTAAGTTTCCCTAAATTGGTGCAAATTGTTCGAAATGATTTGACTATATGAAATTCCAATCATTTTCTCAATTACTGTCCATGATGGGCCGTATTGTTCTGACATACTTCAAAACTCAATTAATGCTTGTAAACAAACTGTACTGGAGTGTCCTAATGCGTATTCGCTGAAAACTTCGTATTTTATTTTTTTCTTCACGAAAAGTTGGGTGGAAAAAATTGCTTTGAAGTGCGCACCGCAGCCAATATCGATCGTCGAGCGGATTAATTGAATCCCTGGAATACATTTATACGGGACCATTTGGATGGAAGTAATGGGGTTGGGATTCGGTTAGGATCCTTCAGTTGTAAATACCCGTCATCCAGTTATGCATTCATCTGCAAATTAGAATTGGCAGAAGCCGATTGCCAACCAGATCCAAGTTTCCGAACGCGAAACTCTTGTGTTTAGTTACTACCAAGGCCTGACATCGTAGACGGAAACGTAACACTTATTTCTAGGAAAATTAATTAACTGTCGTCTTGTTGTTGGTTCCAGCATTTTATTAAGATTCTTGCTAATAATAGCAAATGATTATTTTCTTATACTCAATTATTACTTATGTAATAATACTGTATGTTCATAAGTCTTTTAAATATTCTCACCAATTATAATTATACCATAAATATAAACATTTTTTTTTTAAATAATTACTGATTTTTTTTTGCTGTTCTATACGATATGTGTAAGACTTTTTAACAGTTTATAGAATGAATGATCAATGTTCACCAATCCAACTAATTTATTTGTCAACCGTTGCTTAACTTTTGTAAATTGCATAAAACAAGAATACTGGATGGGAATTCTTTATACTATGAATTATACTAGAAATGTCACTAATACAAATTATTTTTTAAATATACTCAATTATCTACTTAATCTACTAATGAAATGAAATAAACCATAAAAACAAAAATGTCCGAAAAAATATTTTTGGTAATAATATTAAAATTAATTTGTTTTTTTTTAATAATCTCTTGATTCATCTGCTAATTGATGTATGGTTACAAATTAAATGAATGTTGTTGAAGGAATTCGGTGGAAAGATTAATGTTTAGTCGGGGTAAAATGGACAAGAAAATGCGGAAAATTGAGGGAGGAAAAAAGCAATAACTCGGTTCGTCGACGCGTGAGATGTATTGGAAGCAATATGTTGTGTGTTTTCTTTTTGTACTTTTATATATATCTAACAAGCGGTCCTTTCGTCCTGTCTACGAGGACTCGCGAAATAACTTATCTAGTATTTGTATCGAAATAAATTGAAAGTAAAGTCCTGTTTTTCTTTTTAGTTTCAGTTTGATGGTATGAACAAAAAAAAAAGGAAAATCAATAATGCTGAACAGCTTTCGTTCATAAATCCTGTCCCTGCATTTTTTGTCTCTTTTATTCCTTGATATCCCTTTATCTTATTATTTCCATGCCCTTTGATGTCGTATTACTATAAGCTTCAGTCATTTGGTATAGAATACTAATTGGCATTATTTACCTCGTATCTCAAGAGACTTATGTTTCTAAGTTTAAAGCATATACAATTATATATTTAAACATATCAAATGACTGAAATTTTGCTATAATATGACAATGTTCATTTAATAATTATTTAATTAGAACTATTATATTTGAATTCAATAATTTGTCATCAATATATTCCACCTGATGCTATTTTTGTCTTATAAAAGTTAAACGTTGTATTTCAAGGATGATAGTTGGATTGGTGATCAACATTACTAGAGTGAACCAACATCAGATGACATTCCCTATTTTTTATTTATAAAAGTTAAACGTTTTATTTCAATAATCATATTTTAATTGGTGACTATTATCTGTATAGTGAATTAATATTTTATAAACTTATAGAAGTTAAACATTGTATATTAGGGATGATAGTTGGATTGGTGATTATCACCATTATAGTAAATCGTTCGTTATTTTTTACTTATAAATATTAAAAATTGTTTTCCAAGGATGGGGGTCATCACCTTAATGATGAAACTTATTTTTTATTCATTAAGTTAAACGTTGTATTTCAAGTATAATATTTGCATGGGTGATCAACATCATTATAGTGAATGAACATCATGTGTCAATCGTTATTTTTTATATATAAAAGATCATCGCCATCATAGTTAAACAACATCAAGTGACAATTGTTATTTTTAATTTATATAAGTTAAACGTTGTATTTTAAGGGTAATATTAGGTAAAGTGACTCATATCTCACGATGTATACGTTGTATCTTGTCATTCTCGCAGAATACTCCAAAGGTAAAACGAAAAAAAAAATTGATACATCCTTCAGTACCACTACGACCAAAAGGAAAAGCGGAGCAGTATCGAATACTCTTCCGTTCTGGTAATATGGAAGTCGAAGATGAGACACGCTCTGGTCTCGTGGAAAATGTTGATAAAATCATGGAAATCTTCGAGTCAGACCGGAATGCGAGCACTTATTCCATTGCCCAGAAACTGAAGTTTAGCCAGACAACCGTTTGGAATCATTTGCATAAGGCTGGTTTAAAGAAGAAGCTCAATGTATGGGACAAAACGCTCAGAACTATTTACTTTATCTAATATTTGAATGGGTAATATTTCAATTTTTAGTTTTGACTAACAATTCATAAATCGACGTTCCTTATTTATTATTTATAAAAGTTAAAACTTTGTATTTGAAAGAAAATACTTGGATTGGTGATCACCAGTTCATTTCATGTATAAGAGAATAAAGACTTAGTAGCAATTAAACCAGAAAATGTAAAAAGTGATATAATTCTATTATGTGAACATAATTGGTGATGTAAATATTTATCATTATATAACTTCTATAAATCATGTATATTAAAACAATTTATTTTTGTTTTATTGATGTAACTTTAGAAGAATAAAACTGTAATTTAGTTCAACAAATAAGTTTTCAAAAGTATCTTTACTTAAACTCCATCATTTATCCATGTTTGAAATGACATTAATTTGTTTTTACATTATTTCTGTCAATAATTTATTTAAAACAATTTTTCCATTATTTTCATTCATATTTGAAAATTTATGAAGTTTAAATCATATAGTTTTTCTATACATATATTTTAAAAAGTTTGAAAAATGTAATTTAAAGGTGCATTTTATAAAATTGATATATAAAGCTTAAACTCTAGCAGAATGTGAGATATTCAAAATTAGTTGGAAGCTGAAGAACCAGAATTCCTGCAATAGTTTCCTCGTCGACTATAATCCAGCTTTTACGAGCGTACATCTCGTCCCTAACATGTAAAATACCTCAGCATACCGTCAGCATATATATATGATTCAACATATTTCCACTCCCTGCATTTTCCAACCCCCAAAGACGCATACTTTTCCATCTCGAACATAGCAAAAAAAAAAAACTCTTCACAATCCTGCAGATTTAACTCAATACTAGGAAAATATCATCTCTCATTTTATTTACTTTAAATAAATTCGAATCCGAATATTCAATGTTATATTTGCAAGATGGAAATTGAATTGGATCACTAACTCATTCTTTACATTAGCTTAATGTATGTAGGGGCCATACAGTTTATATTCATTGTGATTCGGGGCACGTTTTTGCTTTGCAAGCGAAAATTTAATTTTCCGGATCTCCGGAAAATGCAAATACGCATACAGAGAGACGAATTATACTGCAACTCTTGTTACTGTTCGTGACACGACATATACATACGTTTTCGCAGCACGAACAGTTTTAAACGAGACTTCATTCGTTTCTGCAATTAAATGTTGTAATTAATTTTAATTAATTAAATAATTAATTAAATTCCGTTTAAATCCGTCCCCGGCTGTTTAGAAAAGATTTCCAAACCGAATACACCGAGGTTTATATTATGAAGGGATTTACTGCGTATAATAATGACTCTTAAGTAGGGATTTCCGTTTTCTTGTTACCACAAAATCCACAAATAATCCATTTCTATTAAGGTAGATTATATGCACGGAGATTTTCTTATTAACTGGTATTTCCATTTTAAAGTTAAAATTAAAGTTAAAATTGAAAATTTATATTTAGACTTTGTTGGTCGATAGACACTATGTAATCATTTTTTATATCACTTTACAGTTATTATTTTATTAAACATTTACAAACAAAAAAAAATAATAAATACAACTTTTATTGGACTTTTTAACGAAAAACACGTATTTTTTTTTAATATTACATAATTTAACACAGATTTTCTTATAAATTATATTTGATAGCTGAAAATTTAAGTTTAAATTGTTTTAATGAAAATCAATAATGAATTAAACTGAATTATCTCGTAAGCTCCGGACTAATCGAAGAAATATTTCGCATAGTACGGTTAATCGGTTCCGACAATATTTAGGATTGTTGAAACCAGACTACTCGAAGAACTAAATATATAAATATTTAGAAATGAAATTTAATAATAAATGAAACTGAAATACCTCGTATAGTCCTGGTATCGCCAATATCACAGACTGTTTGAAACCAGACTAATCGAATAACTAAATATAGAAATACCTCGCATAGTACGGTAAATCGGTTCCGCCCATATCACGAACTGTTTGAAACCAAACTAATCGAATAAATAAATATAGAAATATTTCGCATAGTACGGTTAATTGGTTCAGACATTATCTCGGACTGTTTGAAACCGGATTAATCGAAAAACTAAATATAGAAATATTTAGAAATGAAAATTAATAATAACTGAAACAGAAATACCTCGTATAGTCCTGGAATTGTCAATATCACAGACTGTTTGAAACCAGACTAATTGAATAACTAAATATAGAAATATCTCGCATAGTACGGTTAATCGGTTCCGACATTATATTGGACTGTTTGAAACCAGACTAATCGAATAAATAAATATAGAAATATCTCGCATAGTACGGTTCCGACATTATATCTGACTGTTTAAAACCGGACTAATCGAAGAACTAAATATAAAAATTCCTCGCATAGTACGATAAATGGGTTCTAAAATCTTTGATTGCTTGAAACCGGACTAATCAAAGAATTAAATATAGAAATATTTCGCATAGCGCAGTTAATCGGTTCTAACAATATTTCGGACTGTTTGAAACCGGACTAATGGAAGAACTAAATATAGAAATACCTCGCATAGTACAATAACTAGGACTGGTTGAAACCGGACTAATCGAGTAAATCAATATGCACAAAAACAAATCGCATTAAAAAATTGACTGTGTAAAGGAAAATTTATTATTATTTCGCTAATTTTAAATTTTGTTTGTTTTGAAATTTTTGAACCGGACTATAGTGAATCGATTTCTTCTAGATATTATTTATTTAAATAATAATAACAAAATGATACAGAGAAAATATTAAAAAAAATTAATATTATTTTTTAAGTTCAATATTATGACATTATTTTTACTTGAACAGTTAATACACTTTTTTTAAATCAAATTTTGTTCCTTTTGATCATAGAATTTCCGATTGAAACGGAGCCTACAGTTTTTTTTAAGAATTTTAACGCATGAACAGTCAAATACTTGATCAGCTATGAGAAGACAATGAGAAGAAAAAAATACAGTTAATAGAATTAAACTTTATAAGTTATTTCATTAGTATAGTTACCTTTCCAATTGAATAATGTTATTTATTTTAAAAACAATTTAATAGTTTTGTTCATACATATGTTATTCAAAATTGATTACTTGACAATTGGAAAAACTTCATAATTCGTAAATGTTAAAATTTATCACATAAAGTAAATAAAAATGGAAAGTATAATAATTTTAGCAGAAATATAAGACTTGTTGACTCTTTAAAAATAATCGAAGAAAACATACACAAATATTACTTAGTTATTTTTAGGTAAAGAATTCAATTAAATAATTTAGTTTATCTATTTTCTAGTTAATATAACAAATTATGATATGAATTTTGTTTAATTTATTAATTACTTATTCAAATCTCTTTACTTACAAATTAAGGAAATCTTAACTGTAATAGAATTTTCTTACTTTATGAAATAGTAAAAATTCTAAAATTATTCTATTTAGATATTACCTTTATCAACTACAAATAATTTTATTTAAACAAAAATAATAATTAATAAAACAACATATTTGAGTCAAATACAAAAAAAAATCAAATAAAATTCTACATTAACTTCAATATCTGTTGTTTCAAATAATAAATTGTCTTTCCAATGAGATTTATATAAACGTATTCTTTTTTAAAATATTGTTTAAAAATTAATTAATTAGTCTTATTTTAATAATTTTCTATCAAAAAAAATCTCGACAATTCAGTATTTTGCAGAATATAAATTTTATTATTTACAAAGTTTTATATAAACTAATATATAAAAATTCAAATTTCATTAAAAATAAGATGATAATCATGAATATTCAGTAAAGTTGGATAATTTAGAAGAGTTTAGGTAATAATAAAATTTGTATTTTGAAAAAAAAATCATTATTAATGAAAATATCAAATAAATAAGTAATTTTCTGTTTATTTGCTTGAAATTATTGTAATTAATAAAACAAATAAATCTTATATATTAAACTATATATGAATAGACAGAATTATATGACTAATGAATTATAAGACTAATTTTTATATAACAACAAAACTATTGAAAATAATACACATGTTTTCAAAAATTAAAAAACGCTCAGCTGTCTAGTAATATCGATTCTGTAATTTATTGTGATGTATTGGCTGCGACGGAGCCCCAAACTAAATGTAAAATTAAATTCGGACTTACGATGAACACGGCGAGTAGAAGTACGATGGGAACTTTGGCCATCTTCTTCGAAAGGATCGTCTCTCGATGGAAAACCAAAGGTAGGAATGAACTGATGCACCAAGTATGGACCAAAGCAGGAATCCCCGGTTTGGCTACAGTAGAATTCGCTTCAAGGGGTGGTTGTGTAGTTGTGGTTGTATAGCAGGCAGCTCTCGTGCATGCAACGCTCACAAAGCGTCGCGACGCCGTCCCTACCGTTATATAGCCAGTCTCTCCGTAATCCTGGAATAGCGGGGGTGGCGCACATCGCGCAGGTTCGCCCCTATGCTCGCTCACATGGACACCCACCGTTCCTGCTACAGCATTCCTGGAACATTTTAATATTATTCTGAGTACTCACAAATCCCTTAAAACTGAAATCCTCTTCAATAAAATACATAATATTTAATTTTCTTTACTAATATAAACAGTTCACATAATTATGTTTATCAAAGTCCTGTAAACTGAATGTTTATATAGTTGAAAATCTATATTCAGATTTTATACATTTCCAATTTAAATTTTGATAAAGATCAATGTTATTTAAAGATACTGCAATACCTCGCATAGTCAATATCCCGTACTATTTGAAATGGGATTAATTAAGGAACTAAAGACAAATAAGGGAAAAAACGATATTTTTATTTAGCTAATATAAAATTTGTGTTTGTTTGTTTGGAAGTTTCAAAACAATATTGAAGAATCCGCATTGATCGAAACCGCGCTATGTATTGTAAATAATACAAATAAGTAATATTTTTTTCAAAATATTTCCAATTATTTATAAACTAATGATCATAGGTTTTAAAGAAATTAAAAAAAAGCAATTAAAATAATATGAAATAGCCAATTTACGTTTCTTTATAAAGTGACATCAATTAATTTAAATTGCAATTTGCTGTAGGTTTTGAAAACATCAAAGTAGGAAAATGTTTCATCTTCTCCGTGTTTTGATGATTATATATGATGATACAAGTTGAAATATGAAATGCAAATGAATATTTGCTTTTACGAATTGTTTTTGTATGAAAAAGAGAAGGAATTAAACTTCCTTTTATGAAATAAAGCAGAAACTAAAGCAAATTAATTAAATGTTTTGAGATGAAACAAATCTTTATAAAAAAAACATTATATTAATTTTATATTATTAATAGGACAAACTAATTACGTAATAATTATTAGATCATGCGGGAAACAAAATTATAATTTTTTCAAATGTAATGTTTATGATTTTCTTATGGTTAATAATTATTATTTTTTGTATAATAATAGGAACAGTAATATTTAGTATTACAACGATCACAAAGGCATTCAGGCATGTGTATTATGTATAGTATTTGGAATCGTTACTGTAGCAATCATTTTTGTGGTATCGCAAATGAGAAGAAAATATCTTTTCAGTGCAAAAACCTTTTGAAAACGAAATCTATTGACAAGTTCTCTCACAACAAAATATTTCTTTCAAAACTCCCACGAAATCATTAGCTTTTAAAACGTATAACGCAAAAAATAAACAACATTCATTAAATAACTCAAATCCTTTTATAAATCAGTTTAATTATATCACTTAAAAAAAGATAAAGTATGTTCAGTATTAATTATTGTGTATAATTCAATAGAATTAATACATTAATACCTTGCATAGTGCGGCTTCGATCTGTCCGGATTTATAATAGTCCGGGTTTTTAAATTTGAAGAAAAAATAAACTAAATTTGAGTAAAACAAAAATAAATTCTGAAGCAATAGTAAACAAACATTATTTTCTTATGCAATGAATTTAGGCATCGATTAGGCCTGTTTTAAACAGTCCGAAATATTGGCACAACCGCACTATATGAGGTAATACTATTTTTCTAATACGTTTGTTTCACAATTCTATTTGAAGTTATTGACAAAATCATTTTCAAACATCTACAATTATTAATTTCTATATTTACTATTTTGATTGTTATTAAAAATATATTTTGAATGTCTAATGATTACTTTTACGTAATAAAACAATGAATTTAATTTCATTGTAACAGATTTTATTTAAACAGTAAAGTTTGACAAAGTATAATAAACATAATAAGTTTTCAGTCAATAAATTTAAATGTTAATAGTTTGAAATATATGCATTAATAATGCTGTAAATAGTAGAACCTTATCACTTGAAAGAACTGGCGGAAAATGATAAAAGCACGACGGAGCATAGAAAACGGAAACGAATAAAATGTGTCAGTTCTGAAAGTTCTGCAAACGATTCGCAGTTTATATGCATGCATATTATTACTTTTTTTTACATTATTTTCTTTTTTTTTCGTTTCCACTAAGCAGTAACCAAACGAACTGTTTCATATGTGGAAGTCATATAAATAATAATATACAACTCTCGGCGCGAGTTGCATTTAGAAAGTTCCTTTTAACACAATGCTCCATAATGCACTTGAGTTATATTCAGCGAATGCAATGACAGGCCGAATAAATTCCATTACTTCACGTACTTCTTGCACTTCACCATTACTTGTTTTTTTGTTGATGCTGTTGTTGTTATCCGCCTTCTATATTTTGCTTCACCATCAACAAACAAAGTTTTACTGTTAACTCATCTTTTTTTCTTGTTTCTTGCGATAATTATTGATAATTATGTATAATTAATAAAGCAATCCGCTCTGCCGCCTCTTGTGATTACCAGCATTAGATTCAATCGTGCTAAGTGCTGGATAATTTACATGAGAAATCAATTTCACGAGACGTAAATCCAGTGCGAGTTGTATTTACGTTTCGTTGCGCAATTGGAATCGCGCGAAACAACAATTTCGTTAATTGCATTACATTTTAATAGATTCCGATTGATCAATTAGATGGATTACTCAAAACGCTATATTCATACCTGGATATTTATAGAAGTACTATCCAAATTTAGTAGCAGATTTGGAATACTTAAAAATCGCGCGAAACGATAATTTTGTTAATTACATTACATTTTGATAGATCCAAATTGATCAATTAGATGGATTACTCAAAGTGCTATACTTGCCAAGTAACTCATACCTGTATATTTATAGAAGTACTACCCAAATTCATTGGTGGAACTTCAAATCTTTGTCCAACATCAAAATATAATTCGGACCTCAAAATCGAAAAAGAAAATAAGTAGCAAGACTTAAGCAGATTTATAGTACAAATTTGATGGAACCTAACAATTTTTTATTTGAAGTCCCCCCTTAATTTGAAAACGAGAAAAGCATAGAGCCCTATAGTTAAAACATTGTGGGCCCTAGGCAACAGTTAGTTTTTGAGAGCCCTAAATATTTTTTATTTGGGCCCTCGGATCTATACGATATTCCCGCGTTGTGAAGTTCGGCGGCATTGAAGTTCCACTACTGTCTAAATTACAAGTAATTTTTATCAACATATCTTAACAAGTAGTATGCAAATTATTGGAAATAATTAGACAAATTTGATGAAACCTTAGACATTTTCATTTGAAGTCCCCCCTTAATTTGAAAACGAGAAAAGCATAGAGCCCTATAGTTAAAACATTGTGGGCCCTGGGCAACAGTTAGTTTTTGAGAGCCCTAAATATTTTTTATTTGGGCCCTCGGATCTATACGATATTCCCGCGTTGTGAAGTTCGGCGGCATTGAAGTTCCACTACTGTTTAAATTACATGTCATTTCTATCAAGATATCGTAACAAGTAGTATGCAAATTATTGGACCTAATTAAAAACCATATTTATACATGTCGGTTTTTAGAAGTATCTCCTATTTTTTACTTGACTTGTCTACTTAAACAAGTAAAATATTTCAATATTGACGTTTTTACTTCTATACTTTCTGATCAACTTATATGTTTCTACAAGTATATGTATCTTCTCATTACCCAAAGTATTTGTTATTCTTTTTACAAGTGTTTACTACGCTTTAGTTACCGTTTAAAAAATACTTACATACTTGATAAAATAAAAAGACATTGCTTTGCTTGAACTGTTTTTCCTATTAAGAAGCAATGTTTTATCAACACACGATATCCAGATTTTTTTCATTATTTTGAAAATTACAAAAGTAGCATCATTGAAACCATTGTAGCTAGTGAACTAAAGTTCATATTTTCATGACATTTTGACAAGCGTCGTCTGAAGGTTGGTACTTCCTAAAAATCATATATATTTGTCAATGGAGTCGCCATCTATAAGTGATCCTATGAACTTATTGAGTGAGGTTGTTACTTGTACTTAATTTCCATTAAATAAATCATTTATTTTTTTCCTAAGTAATGCGGGAGCCAAATGAAGAATGGGAAGGAAGAAGAAGGATTTTTTCCTCAAAAACGGAAGTTATGATTTTTTGTACTATTACCCCCATATATATTTATTTATTTCATAACATCAAAATTGGATCATTTTGTTATCAAAGCAATTTGGATATTCTCTTCGGGGTCAAACAAATACTTCAATTGGTATACAATTTAATTACATTTAAAAAAATCCATTTACTCGACTTGAAGTAATTTACCCAAGTTTTTCTACCCCTGGTCTAAAAGTACCGGAGTTATACCGAAGTCTACTGTAAAATAATTAACATTTTGTTGTAAGGAAAATATTAAAAAATATATATACTTAAGGACGTACATCTACAGTGAAGCGACATCCGTTATTTAGTAGTCAACTTTAATGTTACTTAACCAAAGCTTTAAATTGTATGTTTGGTTGCTAACATTTTTTTCTTTTAATTTTAGATTGTTTTGTTCAGAAAATAAATACACTGAATAAATCTAACAACAAAATGTTATTAAATACCAAAAAGAAAAACTATTTTGTATACAATATATTGACAAGAAAATATACATATTTATTTGCACTCAAGCGCCATCCATCGTTAAGTAGTAAACTTGAAAGTTACTTAACTAAAGTTTCGGTTTAATGTGTATATTTGGTTGCCTTAATTTTTCGTCAATTTGCAAAATTTTACATATTTTCTGGTATTACATCACCAAATATACTGAAAAAAACTTAAAAAATAGAATGTAAAAATGATATATTTTTTGATGAAGCCTGCTGGATTAATTTATGGATGTTATTTTCTCCTTCTAGTACAAGCTCAAGTCCGGTGCCGATCGAAATCTCGACAACTAAAATCCCGACAATCGAAATACCGACATTCGAAATCTCGACAACCATAATCCCGACAGTATCAAAATCGTGACAGCAACAAAATTCCGATAACAACAATTACAAATCTGATTGTATTTTAGATTATTTCTTGTTGTTAGTGACTATGAATGTTTTTGGACTTTATATATAAAAAAATTGTTAACCGTAGTATACATATTCTAATCTATAGTTTAATAAACTATTGGTATATTGACTTTGTACGGGAATGTAAAGATTGATGAGTGATTTTTTTTAACAGAATAAACTGACAAAGATAAGTGCAGAAAGCAGAATGTCGGATCTTTATAATATAAAATCAGTGGGTGGTGAATACGCGAAATTTACGATCGCGCTCGCTGCAGCTCTCCACAGTAGGGGGTTTCCCTATTGTATCGCCACCCCCAAGCTGTTAAATCCAAAACGTTTATGCTCCAATTTTCTCGCCCTCCTTTTGGCAAAATTCCCATTACCACACCTACTCATTACATCCCACATCCATCTTCAGTTTCCAAGGAATTCTGCAATTACCGATACGACATTATTAAAATTCACTCGGCTGGAAAGATAGTGAATTCTTAAGGAAACTAAATTTAATAATTATTTTTTTATTTGAGATTGTTCACTCTGTGAATATAATATAAGAGTTAATTTGACGGCGACTTTGATTTAGTATATTAGTTATTAGAGAAGACGAGGAATGTTCGCAATAAAGTCGAATTGAATGTAAGATGATGGTGGATAATTGGGTATACACTGGGGAGACATATATATCAGTGATTATTATTTTTAAATTGGTTACATGATATTTTTGCGGAAAAAGTACATTTTAATCAATACCCATGTGAGTTGTACGTCAGAAAACTTCTATCTTCGATGAATTTACTATAATCTGATATGTCTCATAAATAATGGTATAATAAAATAATAATTAATTTTCATTTCATTAAAAAACATATTGGCTATATTTATTCAAGTAATTACGTAATTGTTAAAATAATTCTGATAATAATTATTACCAATTTTTTTTAACACAAAATTAAGAAATATTTTCTACATTTCTTAAGAAAAGACATAATAAATATAAATTGAAAAAAACAATAATAAAATAATTGTTATCACTAAACAATTTCAGTAATCAATTTCTAGGGGATACTGATCACTATACTACCGAGGACGAATGTTTATTGTAACTTGAAAGTAATTTCAATAGAAGAAGAAATAATTTAAATTACAATATCAAATTTAAAGGTACGTACACACTAGATCTCAGATGTGAATCATCCACATCAATATATACTATAGTAGAGATGAGAGGTGGTCTACACCAGTAGTCCCTTACCGTTGGTCAAATGGTAGCGGTCCGCGGATCAAATGGTACCGGGTCATGTTAAATCACTATATATTCATTTTTTGGTGTAACTATATTAACGTCCTCGAAGCATACTATGGAATCCCAGTTCTTATTTCTGAATTATTTACTAAGTGTTAATCTTCTCGAAGCTCTATGAAATTTTCAAAAATCATGTATTATAAATAAAGGTGTAATAATAAAACAATAATTAAATTTAGAAATTTTCTTTTAATTTCAATATATTAATTGTTATCCATATTTATTCATATTATGTTATTAATTATTACAATAATTGTTCACTACTAGATTCATCAGTCTAGTCGTGTTTGGTTCTTTTTACTTTTGTTTGTTTTTTATTAGTTGGTGGTTTAACTAATTTCTCATTATCATCATCATCGGTTTTTGTAGAATTTAATTGACTACTAGATCCTTTGTCTAAATCCTCATCACCAGTCGCATCGTGTATGGTTCTTTTTAGTTGTGTTTGCTTTTTACTAGTTGATGATTTAACAATTTCCTCAGTAACATCCCCATTGGTTTCATTAGAATTTGTTTGACTACTAGATGCTTTGTCTAAATCTTCATCATCATTCACATCGTATTTGGTTCTTTTTACTTTTGTTTGCTTTTTACTAGTTGATGGTTTAACAAATTTCTCATTATCATCCTCATCGTTTTTTGTAGAATTTAATTGACTACTATATTCTTTGTCTAAATCCTCATCATCAGTCGCATCGTGTATGGTTCTTTTTAGTTTTGTTTGCTTTTTACTAGTTGATGATTTAACAATTTCCTCAGTAACATCTTCATTGGTTTCACCAGAATTTGTTTGGCTACTAGATGCTTTGTCTAAATCGTCATCATCAGTCGCATCGTGTATGGAATTAACTAATTCCTCAGTAAAATCCTCATCGGTTTCAGTAGAATTTGTTTGGCTACTAGATTCATTGTCTAAATCATCATCATCAGTCGCATCGTGTATGGAATTAACTGATCCGTCAGTAACATCCTCATCGGTTTCAGTAGAATTTGTTTGGCTACTAGATTCTTTGTCTAAATCATCATCATCAGTCTTATAAAATTTTCCCAAAAGCAACGTTTGCATAATTGAATCACATTCTTTCTTAGTTTCGTTTATCTCATCAGCCGCCTGTTCTGCACTACGTCTTAGCTTTTCTAACTTTAACATACGTCTTGCAATTTTTGTTTGACTACTACATTCTTTGTCTAAATCCTCATCATCAGACTCATCGACTATGGTACGTTCTACTTTTTTTGGATGGAATATATTCATGTCAAAAGGTACACTTCCTTCAAAATGCATTACGATAAGTGATTCTACTATTCCTATATTTCTCTTTAACTTACCGAGTACTACTGCTGTACTACTCATCTGTTTTTTAATAACATTTAATTGTTCTATACATTCTGTATCTTTTATATCTTCTGTATTTTTTGTATCTTCTGTATCTTCTGTATTTTTTGTATCTTCTCTATCTTCTCTATATTTCGGTTGTTCTATGTTGTATGATTTATGTTGTTGATCATCTATATAGTTTACATCACCATGTTTTTTATGACTTATTATATTACACTGAGTTCCGAAATCACAGGTCTTTATAGTTGAAACCTCGTCAGAATAAGATCGTCTATGTTTTCTTGACTGATTGAATTGATTCATCTTATAGCTGAATAAGTAAATAATTATTACAAAATTATATGACATTAAGAAATGATCGATTTATTTACCATTTACTGTATGATTCTTGTTGTTGATCATGTATATAGTCTACATCACCATGTTTTTTATGACTTTTTATATTACAGTGACTTCTGAAATCACAGGTTTTTATAGTTGAAACCTCGTCAGAATAAGATCGCCTATGTTTACTTGACTGATTGGATTGATTCATCATATAGCTGAATAAGTAAATAATTATTACAAAATTATATGACACTAAGAAATGATCGATATATTTACCATTTACTGATATTGTTGCGTAAATTGAATTTCTATACAGTATTTCAAATTCATATCAATTTTTTTTTGTAACAAACCAGGTACCATAGCTAATATTCGGTTGACATAAATATTTATTGTTAAAAGATGCTGTAAAAAGAAAAATATCAATTAGATTTCAGAAAATCCAACCAGTTATTTAACATTCAGAATATTTCTTATAATCATATTTTACAATCACATACACATATATGTAAGAACACTTGAAATATTAAAATCCAATCCTCCTAAAATGGTTTTAAAAAATAATACATATAAACGATTATGCATATTCTAAATACTATAACCTCACTAACTAGTTTGTGTATATTTTTGAAGCTAAAAAGCCGAGGAACGAATTTATCAGTTATGTTCTTTCATACAGAATTCCCAAATCAAAATTTCAATATTATGTTCTAAAGACACCCTCCATTACATTAGAGTATATTATAAAATTAAAACTGCAATGACAATTGTTATTTTATTATAATGTTATATATTTATGTGTGTAAAAAGAAAATGGATAGGAAACAACAACGGAGTTAATTTGGTCAGGTAGGATAAGTGAAATTATGTTAGTACACATATTAACTATAAATTTTGCTACAGTACATTTTTTCTAAAGCAACGTATTAATCTTCATACTGTTTATTTTTGTATGCAAATCTTCTAGGATATAATAGCTTTTAATATAATAACAATATCTTAAAACATTTTTTTAAAATATTTAAATTGATGTAAAGTATTGTTTTTCACATAAAACGAATATTTCTACTTGTTCAACGTAAAACAAACAAAATACTTGCAGGTTTATATTTTAAATTTAATGAAAATAATAGATAATTAGCAATATCGTACTTACTTAGAAGTATTTAAAATTGAACACAAAACGGACGGACGAACACCAAAAACTGATTTGACTCGTGTAGACGATATTTTTACTCTTCAACAAAAAACTAGTATATCCATAAAGAAATAGTATAGATTTTATTTTTCCAAACTTCATCAATAGTTGACAAATATTTTTATTGGAATATGGATATTTTTTGTGAATAAAATAATTAAATATTCTAAGATTAAATGTATGTTTTAGTAATGTTTATAACATATCTACTTGATGTACCAAATCTCATCTGCTTCTCTAGAAACAATGGTCAACATTGCAAAAGAAGAATCAGATAAAATATATATTCGTTAGTACTAATAGTTTTCTTTTTGTCAGTTTTTAAAATCCTGTATCATCGGGAAATAAGGTATAATAAAAAAAATAATAATTGGGTTTATAATATATTTTTTAATCCAAACAAAAATACATAATTGTTACAATAATTGTTATTTTATAAAATACCAAGAAATATATTTACGTATTACAAATTCTTTGTCTAAATCTTCATCTTTTCTAGTTGATGGTTTAACAAATTCCTCATTATAATTCTCATCAATTTCAGTAGACTTCGCCCGACTAGTGGATTCTTACTAATATTCAATGGTTTTGTTTGTTTTTGCTTTACATTTACATTACATTGCTTTACCTTTTCGTTTTTGTTTCTTTTTTACTAGTTGATGGTTTTATAAAATTCTTATTATCATCCTCAACGATTTCTTTAGATCTTCTTTCATTCTAAAATTGGTTATTGTACATTTTTTCTCGTCTGCTCATTTCGAAGTAATGATGCTTCTAATTTAAGCAAGCGTGCACTTGCATAGTAGGATCTAATACATCATTGTCTTTTTTAATACCTATGACAGCTGGTTTCAGTAAATAAGAGGTGGAAGGACAAGCTAACACGTTATCTAGAAGAGATAACCCCAGGCAGAGACTCATGAAAAAGAACAATCGATTCAGTTCGAGAAAATAGTCTGGAACTTCTAAGAAAAGCACTTCATGATGATAAAAAATCCGATGAATCAGACGTCAATGCAATAATAGAAGATGGAAAACATACACAAAACCTTTGGATCGAATAAAACTAAAGTTTTATACGATAATTATAAAGCATTAAATTGATCAAGTACAACACGACCTAGAAAAAAATTACTAAGCTGTTTATTTTAAAGAGAATTCCCGAATTCCCTCAAAAAACGGCTGAACAATTGTACTTGAACAATTTAATCTCCGTATAAAACATTATAATTTTATTCAAAGGTTACATATGTTTTCCCATATTCTATTATTGTATTAATATCTGATTTTTCGGATTTTTTATCGTCAAGAACTGATTTTCTCAAATGTTTTGGTTCCAAAATATTTTCTCGAATTGAATCAATTGTTTTTCTATATGAGTCTCTATCTCCGGTTCTATTGTCCTGACGTGTAGCTCGTCATTCCCTTTCTTATTTACCGAGCCTAGCTTTCATAGGTATAAAAATAGGCCAATGACATGTTAGATCATACAATGCAAATGTACGTTGGCTGAAGTTAGAACCACCATTAGTTCAAAATGTGCAGACGAGAATAGAATGTACAATAACCAATTTGAGAAAGAAAGACAATCTAAAGCAAACGTCGAAGATAATAATAAGAATATTTCCAATTTTCCCAGCCCAGTGTGCATCCAATTAGGTCTCTTTCTTATTTTCTTTAATTGATATTGCTTTCGTTTTAATTATTCTTTCAGATTCCTGCTGTTTATAAAACATATTGCCAAGCGGCGTGGAATGAATCATGGTTATTTGAATAATTCAATAATTATTAAAATTTAAAATTTCCTGGTTGATTTTTGTCTATTCAATTGGTGTAAATTCTTTTTTTACTATTTAAAATTCTCATCTACTTTCTAAATTAATATTATTAGAAGGAGCTGTAAAAAGAAAAGTATGAATTAGATATCAGAAAATGCGAAAAATGCTAAAGAGAGTTGTAATAAAAAAAATAATAGCGGAGTCTAATTTGGTCAGGTAAAAAGAACATTTGTAGAAAGCTTAATGGGTAGAAATTGTATATTCTATTGGTACAAGTATAGTACAATATTTCTAAAGTACTATTTTCTAATTAACCTTCATACTGTTTCTGCTATATTTTTTTTATCCTTGCTTTGCCATTATTTTTTTTAACGATATTTTTTTTCGATTCAATTTTTTTAATATATTTAAATTGAAATAAAGTATTGTTTTTTCGCATAAAACGAATAGTTCTCCTTGATCAACGTAAAACATATAAAAATAATTGCTGGTTTATACTTTGAATGTAATGAAAATAATAAGCAATATCATACTTACTTAGGATTATTTAAATTGGAACACGAAAAGGACGGACGAATACCAGATACTGATCTGACTAGAGCAAGCTACAAGCTGCTAGTACCCACTATTTCTTTCCTTTTCAACGAAAAAGTAAAAAAGATGAAATGGAACAAAAATGAACTGATTTTTGCAAAGACGTAGTTTTTTTTAATTTGAAACGAAAGATATTGTTCCATGCAAAACTCGTATACTGATACTTTATGAATTATTAAATATTGTATACATCGAATCATTATTATATTTCGATAGTTAATTAATAGTTGACTCATATTTTAATTTGAATATGGGTTATTTCTCTTCATTTTTGTGTATAAAATATTTTAATACTATTCTGTAATACTGTATATGTATTTTTGATAACGTTGTTAAAATGATTTACCAAATAGCATTTGCTTTTCTAGAAGCAATAGTCATCATTGCAAAAGAAGAATCAGAAAAAAATATATATCTTTTGCAAAAATCATGTATCATGAATAAAAGTATAATAAAAAAAATATTTTTACAAAATTACTTTTAATTTAAAAAAATACACAAGAGTTACAAAATTTTCTTACTTTTGTAAATTTATAAATAATAGTATATCATAATGTATTTTATAAAATTCAGAAACATCTTTATCATTTATTAACGAAAGACATGAAAAATATAAACAATTTATATCATAATGGCGCATGATATATTTACGTTGAAAATATATGTTTGTAATGAAAAATAAAAGTCATTATTTATGTAAGTAACTTTATTTGATATGAATTTATGTCAAATTAAGTTGTTTGGTAATTTGAAAGAGACTTTTAGTTTTCATTATATTACATGTAAAATTAAAAAAAAATATTCTGGTATAAATATTTTAGAAATATACATTAATTTTTTCTTAGCATTATATACATAAATAAAGTAAAATAAAAGAAAAATATTGATTTGCCATATATAATTTCAAATGTATACACAGAGAAATACTTATTTGCTTTGGTTTTCTTTTCCTTTTGCGTCAGCAGGTACGGAAACGTCGATTAAGGTGCAGCGCTTTTTATTATTATTATTATTATGTTTTATTTATGACTTGGCACTTTCGTGCCAGTTGCTCTTCTTTGCCGGAGCCCTACCTGGGCCCTAGGGCGTTTATTGTCCGATAGATAGGACCTTTCGTAGGATGTGGGCCGTTCCCAGCAGTGCGATCTTCTTTTAGACTCTCGTACTTTCTCCAACCGTTTTTTATACATTTTGTTTTCATCTGCGCATT